GTTAAATATTTCTACTTTAAACTGCAAAGCCCAAGTGTCTAGGTATTATAGAAAATACTTGACTACAGAGGTGTGCGATTTGGGGCAATAACAAATAGCTTCTAAGAAAAAAAGAAAAAAGCCTTAAGGGCAAAATGAAGGTAGTTTAATATAGCAGTTGGCAAATGTAGATGCTTGAAAGCTTTGAAATCCTCAAAATTGTCCATCAAGGCATTGTAATAAAATATTAAATTAATCCAGATAAAAGGATAATCCATCAGGACCACAGCACTGTACAAGCTATTTTCTGTATAAGACTCACCATGAAGGCAAAGATAAAGTCTCACTCAGAGTGAACAGTGAAATAATCATGGTGGCCTTCACCTGTTTGGTTGGCAGTGCAATTGCCCAATGCCGATGTGTTTGCCTGTGGTAAAATCACGAGCTTCTGTCAGGAGGCAGCTGGCTGTCTTGGACGTTTTGTGATCACACGATCGAATCCTGCTGCAGCTAATGGTAACCCATTGCATTCACATGTCTCCTCCTTTTTACCCTTAAAACCACCCTGATTTCATTGTTTCAAATGACATAGCCAGGGGCAGTTATTTCTAAATTGTCTATGTTAAATTAGGATAAGAATATGAATTTCTCCTATTTTTATACCTCCAGAAAAATACTAAATGCTTTTTGCTCAGCTAAAAATGTGATTTTTCTTGAATATGTTATCCTTTCATTTAAGTTTTCCAACAGTGAATGTAATAAATGAGGAAAATTCACAAAAATGGAGCTAGCCTTTCCAGTGCACATTCGAAGGACATTTCCTGCCAGGAGATAAAAAGGATGCTACAATTTACCTTAATCTGAAATAACTTGGATATTCTAGGGATATAAGTGTAACATTTTCCTCTGATGATTCCATATTTCTGCCCCCCTTTTTTTTTAACTGCCAACAGTTAAGGTGGGCATAGGATTGTGACATCACCCCTCCAACCTGCCCATGTGTGCAAAATACATATTTGGGGGACAAAAGCCAGAAACATTCTGTGAGGTCAGTGTGATTAAGTCACCTTACAACCCCACAAGATTGGAAGACATTACTAAACACATTGAAATAGGGTTGATTCCATTTATGCTAAAATGGAACAGCCTAACAAGAGACCAAGATTGAAACCTTCTTCTGATCCTGGGAGAGGTGGAAACAGCTAGGGACTAAGGGCAGGGAAGTTAATGTTAGCTAAGACTTTGATCTCACAGCTCATGCTTCCTGGTCACAAAATCTCGAAGAAATTGGCTCATCTTTCCAGCATCAGTTTTTTGTCCCATAAGGATAACAATAATACAGTACCTGCCTTGAGGAAGGTCAAAGGGAAGAGTGCATTTGAGCCAGGCATTTTTTGTTTTTTGAGACAGGGCCTCACTATGTAGTTGAGACTGAACTGGAACTCACTATGTAGCCCAGGCTGGTCTCGAACTCACAGAGATCCTCCTGCTTCAGCCTCCGTCCATGTGGTGGGATTACAGGCGTGCACCACCACACCCAGCTGAACCAGGCTTTAAAGAGCTCATAAAATTTACATATGCAGAGATTGGATTCCAAGTTGTGGAGACAGAGAACACAAAGGTGTCATGACAGAAATACATGGTTCCCTGTGAGTGACATTCAAATGGGGAGGAGCGATTATTTCCTATCAGGGAAAGGTCTAAGGAACAGAGAAGAATAAATCGGTAAGCAGAGCAATATTCTAGTTTGTGCTGGTATAACAGAACATCAGATAGTAAGTAACTTACAAACAGTAGAAACTTATTTCTCACAGCTCTAGAGGCTGTTTAAGATCAAGATGCTGGCAGATTGGGTGTCTGGTGGGGACCTAGTGTCTCCCAGCTTCCAATATGGGCCCTTGTTATAGCCTCTCCAAAAGGTGGAAAAAATGTCCTCATAGGAGAGAAGGGCCAAAAAGGCCTACACTAGTTCCATCCAGCCATTTATGTCACTAATCCAGTCATGAGGGTGGAAGTGTCACAACTTCCCCTAAGCTCCCACCCTTTATTACAACTACCACGGGGGAAAAGTTTTAACACGTGAATTTGGAGAAATATTCAGATCACAGCAGACAATAAGGAGACTCACAATTATCTAAGAAAAAAGCAATCAATGGTCCAAAGTAGGAGTGGTCATGCAGCAGTGAGTGAGAAGTTGATGAGAGAATTCAGAAATGGAATGTAGATATCAGTAGTGTTGGTATGTGAGTCATGAATGATTCTGAAGGTATCAAGACTAAGACCGGGTCACAGAGGTGGCAGACCTACAGCATGCATGCCGCAGTGGGCTGTTTGTATCATTCAAAGCTTTAAAAGGTTTGCCATCACTGGACTAGGAATCTGATTCTGGCATGATTAGACAATGGAAAGGCATGGGGAAAATAGCCGTACTTGCTTGAATATAGTTCTAAACATAAGGTCATGGATCAGGAGGGAGATCTAAGTTAATACATCCACCAATCTCCTAAAAATACAGAGTAGGAGAGAGAGAGGAGCCAAAGCTGGAGTAATACATTTCATATTTGTCCAAAAGTAGGATATCATTATTGTTTCCGTCATGGATGGGATTTCCAAAGGGGAGAATTAGAGATGCAAAGGAAAAAATGATACAAAGGAAAAAATGATACAAAGAGACTGGGAAACAAATAGCCAGGAATCATTCTGAGACATTGTGAGGAAGATCAGTACTGTGTGTGCAAGACAAAATAATTTCTGGTACAGGAGAAATATGAGTAATAGTTGAGTTAGCTTTTCATCACCGTGGTAAAATACCTGACAAACTCACAGGAGGAAAGATTTACTTTGGCTCACAGTTTCAGGGGTTTTTAGTCCATAGTTGGCTGGTTCCATTGCTTTGAGCTTGACATAAGATGGAACATGGTGGAAAGACATGGTAGAGGAAGGCTGATCCCCTCATGGCAGCCAGGAAGCAAAGGGTAAGAGAGCCCAAGAAGAAGGGGTCAGGGACAAACATGGTTCCTAAGATGGTGACCCAGGACCCACTCCCTTCTAAGCCCCACCTCCTAATTTTCCATAGCTCTCAATGATGCCATCAAATTATGACCTCATCATTAGATTCATCCATGGATGGGCTTAAAGCCTTCATAAGGTAATCTCCTTCTGGAATCCCTGGCTCTAAAGATAAGAGTCTTGGGAAGCATTTTAGATCTAAACCATACCAATAGTAAGTATCACAAAGACTCCAAAAACAACACAGCCTCAGGTTGAGTCAAGAGCTCTCTTACTGGTGAAGGTTATTTTCTCTCAAGACAAATGTGTAAGAATCAATAATTATTGCAGAATATGCTGTCTTTAGGAAAAGTACTTAACAGTCACAAGCATATTATCTATATAAAACACACACCCACTTAATTTATTAAATCAGACTGTGGCTAACTTACTAGCCATTACCTGTGGCTTTATAAGACATGAAAAAAGTTGGGAAGAAATCTAATGGAAGCCTTTTATCTATATGGGAAAGGTCACTGCAGAGCATCAAGTATAGAATTCTACAACAGTGCCACCATGAATAAGTAGATATTATAACTCAAATTAGATTTCAAAAGGACAAATTTGCCTGGGATTCTATCATTTAAAATAATCTCCTGCAACAAAACTGACTAGAGAAGGATCTTAATCATATACTTTAATGCTGTGCCATAAAATTGTTTCAATGGGTGTATTTAAGCAGAATTTTAATTCTTCGTAGATGAAGTGGTATTTTGTCAACTTAAACGAGAATTTGAAAGATGATAGTAAAATGTTACAAATCAAATTTAAATCTTGATTTTATTTTCTTTAGCATCAACATTAATCAGTAGTTGATTTAAAATATATAATGCAGTAAATTCTTGACACTGGTATGACTGGAAAAATGAGATAGTCTACTTAATCAAATATTATAAATATGTTATCTAGATCTAAAATTTTAAAATATATAACAAAAAATCTGGTTGATCCTGGATGAGAAAATAGGATTTACAAATCTGTGATCATTTTTTTAAAGCAAGCATTACAGTGATACAATTTTCTTTCTTTCTCCCCCTCCCCTTTGGCAGCAGGGATTGAACTCTGGACCTTGCACGTGACACAAAGTTATTTTTTAAGTTCATTTTACCACTAAAATGTGTTTCAATAATGAAGCATATGATTTGAGCAAGGTTTCCACTAGTCCACTAAAACTTCAGATAAATTAATGATGTATATTCCATAAAGTTGACTTTTCTTTGGTCACTTTTTAAAAGGGATATACTGACAGTACTTTTTGGAAGAGAAAAGTTGCAGAAAGAAAAGTCAAGATATCTGGTCTCTGATCGCGTGGTCATTGCCAGAAAGCAGAGAGGCTTAGACCAAAGGAGGCTGAGCACAGCTCTGTGTACACAGGCCTGCACCCCGAAGGGAAGAGGGGGCTATTGGTAGAGTATGCAGCATGAGGGAAGCACTTGGAGAACTCGTGTTTTCGAAGCAAGATGATGAGAACTGCTTAAGAACAGAGTATGTTGCTTGGCCGCGACGCCTTTATTACCCACATAGGTGTTCTGGGAAGGCTGGGGATCCTGGATGTATCTTTCCACTTAAAGCATATCGTACCTTGCCTGCTGTTGACACATGGGAATGCACTCGATTTCTTTATGATTATTGGATACTTGGGGAAGCTGTACAGAGAAAGAAGTATCATTTCGGCTCCAATGTCTTGTCCCAGGGAGGGGTGTTGCAGCAATTCAGAACATGTGCCAACTGCCATTCTCTGTGGGTTCACATCCCTCCAGGGGCACTTCCTAGCTGTGACTTTGCTAGAGTGGCTTAACCTCTTTGTACCTTAGTTTTCACATCTGTTAGATGGAGAAGATAACAGTACCCACACCGAGGCTTCAAATGGTGCCTGTTCATCCGTAGCACACAGTCCATGGGAACTGCTGCTGCTGTTGTTTTGATTGTCACTTTTACTTACCAAGGAAATGGTTTGGTTTGTTTTGGTTTAGATGAGCTGCTTCAGAAAGAGCAGAACTACTCAGATGATGTCTTGGCCAACATGATCAGTGAACCAAGAATCAGTTATGGAAATGATGCTCTTATGCCATCTTTGACTGAAACAAAAACCACCGTGGAGCTCCTCCCTGTGAATGGAGAATTTAGCCTGGACGATCTGCAGCCATGGCACCCTTTTGGTGTTGACTCTGTGCCAGCCAATACAGAGAATGAAGGTAAGAGCCTGCAGCAGGAGCAAGATCTCTCTGGGTGTGTGTTTGTGTGTGTGTGTGTGTGTGTGTGTGTGTGTGTGTGTGATACTTTTAATGTTGTTCTTGCGTGGTGACTTTTTAACATGACAATAACATTGTCATTTTAATTTTACTTCAATTAAGACATGAATATGAGGCGTTGTTGCTATGTAATTATAAAAATAATGAACCTATTACATAAAATAATAATAGTTTAGACTTTTTATGCTATAGTGCAAGTGAAGTGTTATTTGGTGGCTAGTGGTTCCATTTAATAGGTGGCAAAAAGAAATGATTATGTTTACATAGAATACTTTTGAGTAAAGGCCTGTTGTTTCCCAAAGATCCAGGTTTACTTTCTAGGGAAGATCATCCTTGGAGTGACAACTGCTATAAAAAAGTGAACTACAACATATTAGTCAAGGGGCAGTTCTCTCCATGGAAATAATATGTCAATAACATTTGCTATTCTATTCTTGAACATTGTACAAAACTGGGCATGCTGGTGCCTGGCTGTAATCTCAGCTATTGCAAAAGCTGTGGTAGAAGGAACACTTGGGTCCACAAGTTCAAGACCAACCTGGGCAACCTAGTTGACCCCATTTCAAAATAAAAAAGAAATAAATATATAATGGACCTTCAAATTATGACCAGAATAACATACAAACAACTTGGGCTAATTAGGGTAATGGAAGATTCATCTGCGTCTTGTTACCTATAGAATGTACCCAGGTAAACATCCAGATCTGAGCTGTATTGACTTACAACCACTTGAGTTACAACCAGCCCTTAGGAACCAGTCGAGATCGTAAGTCAAGGGTCCACTGTATAATAATGAGTGGATACATAAACAGCATGAATGATAACATAATTGTTTTAATAACTGTTTTTTCAAATAAGAAAATCGAAGTGCCAAGACAATAAGTTTTACATTTTGACTTTTGTAGAAATTTTCTTAAGAAACTTTCTCACTGACAGGTATTTTGTTCCTTTTGGAATAAAAAATATAATATTCAACTTGCATTTATGAGCGTGGCCTGAATAATACTGATCACCTTTCAAGAAAATGGGCAGTAAAATCAAGGATAATACACGTTGCCCAAAAAAGAGAGATGTAATGGGGCCTGCATAATGGAGACTTCACAGGCGCTGACATAGTGGTCATTGGCTATTTATTCATACATGAAAATTCAGGTTACATTTTATGCTAAAGGCAAAAATGGAGGAACCATGTATAAATAAAATATAAGCTTTAAACACGATTTAAACAATTTTATAGTTAGCAATTTAGTTTAAGACCACTATCAAAATTAAGGAACATGTTGCTCTGAATTTTTGTTCTTACGATAGTTCAGAAAATGAAGGCTTCTCTCTGTTAACAGACTTGTGCACCTGAATGATATACTTTTCACAGAAATTTTTTAGGGATTTCTATTTAGGAGAATGCAACTTTTTGTTCATTTTATCATTTTTACAAATTTAGAAGTAAAGTTACAGGCACATGAACATTTGGCTTCTCAGAACTAATAACAATTTTTCAAGAACCCAACAGAACTTTACATGTGATTTGTTTTCTTTCTTTCTTAAAGTAGCAAATTTTGATGGTGGTTTTATATTTGCAGTATGATTACCTTAAATGCAATCATTGTACTCCTCAGCCTAAATCTAAATACAATATTAGACCTTAAGTGCCCTGGGCAAGCATTTTTTAAAAGAACCACTGCAAAAAGCTTTGTATAGAATGTTTTCACATCATGAATAATCATTTCAAATAATCCTTATTTGGAAAAAAAAAAAAAAAAAGCACCGTGTACTACAAATTACCATCAGATACATCCAGGAATGTTATTTATGATACACAAACATTGAATCTTTGGTATTTATTAAAATTAATCCCAGCCAAGCATGGCGGTATACACATGTAATCTCATCTGAAGGCCAACATGGAGAACTCAGTGACCTAGGAAAGCCCTGTCACAAAATAAAAATGCTGGGGATGGATTTTAGTGCAGAGGCCCTGGGCTCAGTCAGCAGTACTGAATATAATAATAAAATTATTCCTATTCATATAGAAGAAAAAAATTAAGAACACTTAATTATCAAAACCTGAGTAACTTTGTTCTGAAGTTGTCTCATTTCTACAGAGCTAGTAGTGTCATTTTTGATAGGTAAAGACATTTTGGCCGTTTAGAATTCTCACAATTCAGTCTCAGGTTTTTGTGGATAACACCTAATTTGATTTTCTTAACTGAAGGTACACTGATTGGCTTGTTCTCTAATAATACACACTGTGGGTATTAGCCCCTAGAGACTGTGCACATGTGCATTCACAATCACACGCGCGCACGCACACACACACACACACACACACACACTGAAGCTTTTGGACATTGCCAAGATGCCCAAGTGGGCAAAGTTCTTAGTTTAGTGCCTCTGGACCCTTGACCAACATTCAATTATTACTTTAACTAGATTTCAGCAAAGATCCACTATTAATAAAGAGCAAAGCCTCATACGAAAGTATTCAAGGATATAGCTCAGTGGTAGAAGGCTTGTCTAGAATGCATGAGGCTCTGGGGTCTTTCCCTACTATAATCAAAAATTAAGTTTTTAACAATTATGGAGCAGTAGTACTTAACATCTCAGTCTTGTGTTATGGTTCTCACCTCTGTCAGACCCAACAGCCCTTTGATAACTAATATTTTGAAAAGTCAACAGTTGGTCTGTATGTGTGTTTGTGTGGTTCTAGGAACTGAAACCAGGGCCTCCCACATGCTAAATATGCACGAGCCATACCACTGAGCTACATATATCCACTGACCACAATTAATCTTTAAATAAAATTGGCTGGCACAATATAGAGGGGACATCATCAAGTCAACACAGTGGACATAATTGGTTAAATGTGGTTCAGCATGTAAGTGCTCACTACGACAAGAAGAGCTGATGCCACAGTCAATTCTTTTTCCCCATATAGATGCAACAGATACAGATGCGGACTGATAGAGGCGGCTCAGTGAGTCAGGCTCCACAAGCACCAAAAGCATTAATGGCACAGCTTTCCAAAATAGTGAATAACTGTTGGGAGAGCTGTGGATAAAAAAGTCTTCTTCAGTTTGCCCAGTAGTGTGCTCCTGAAATATCCAAGTTACATGAAGGACTGCAAGACTGCCTTGTGTTTATCTCTAAAACTGAGTCAGGTTCTGGATTTGCATTGTCGTAAATACTTAGAAGTCCAAAGGAAAATTACAAAACCACATAGGGTATGAGATTTGTTGGGATTGCTCTGTGTACAGCATTTAACATCCTTGATCACCACCCACAAAATGCCAGTACTCTTTTCTTTCCCTAAATATGACAAAGACACTTCCACATCCCCCGCCATCCTGTGGGGCAGTAAGTACTACTCCACACTCCTGAATGATGGAAGTCTGAGTTTAAATTCGAGCTCTGCTGTTTAATTGCAAGCAGATTACTCAGCCCCTCCAGCTGTCTGTAAAGGAAGGTTGATACTCATTTCTAGCTCTAAGACATGGTATGAACATTAAATGAGATGGTATGAAAAGTCCATGTGAAGGTGCCTGGAACACAGTAAATATGCAGGGTGGCTAGTTGTTGGTTGGTTGGCTGGTTTTAAGAGAACCAGGGTCTTACTGGACAGACTCTGCATCCTCTCTCCAGATGAATCACCAAATAAACCAATGTGCCCTTAAAATAAATGAGGATAAGCCATAGAGTGATACAGTCCTGATGACAACTTTCTTCTCCCCTTTTCATAGCCGTCTTCTCCCAAAAATTCATTACTTACTTGTCTTTCTTGTTACGGATAAGTGCATGCACTGAGCTATTTAAGATATCTGGTGTTCTCAGAGGATTTCCTTTCATTGTCCTGCAGTCCTTATCATCATAAGTTCAAATATTTACCAGAAATGTGTTGTTTTTCACAAGAACAATCAGTCAAGTCCAGAAGACGGTCTGATGCTCATGTATTCCCTTAATTTCCACTGAAAAAATAAGCATACCACAGCACATTTTTCCAGTATTATAAAATGTTCTGCATTTTAGGGCAAATAAATTTATGGAAAGAATCTCTTTACTAAGGGATAACAAATAATAGCATTTTATAGTAATGTCTTTCAGAATTTTTTCTATGTACATTTGATCCTTTTCTAGATTTTCTGAAGTTACAGCTGTGAACTACTGCCTTATCACTTACTAGTTTCTTCCACTTAAGTGTGCACACTTGGGCCCTAGAGAAACTTACATAATTGTGATGAAACTGGTGTGCATACAGAATGTGATTTGCCCGAGATCACAGAGAAAACCAGTGGTGATGTTAAGCAGTGGATCCTGAGACCGCCAGCTCTCATGCTGCATTTAGACTATGGATGTAGCTGCTCCCTCTTAAGTTGAATACACATTTTCTAATGATGTGACTGTCAATATGCTTGATCAGGGCCCCTTTAAGTCACTTCATTGCTATTGTGAGTGTGGCTTGCTGTATTCTTTTTTTTAACAGCTTTAATTGAGTTTATTGGTACATTTTAGGTATATAGTACAGTTACATTCATCATTGGGATCTTGTACCTTTACATGACAGGTCTTAGTGCTCATTTTTTTCCCTTGTCCCTGACCTCCCTTCACCCCCTGCTCCCCTCCCCATCTACAAGCACTTTATTTCCATCTTTTCTTTATCTCACATTTTTTTCTTTTCCCTTGTTACCCTTCCCCTACCCATCCCAACATCCCTACACTTTTAGCCTCTTTCTTCCCATTTCACAATGTCAGTAATCTTATTAGGATCTTCTGTATTATTGCAGATTATTCACACCAGAGGAACTATTCGGTATTTACACGTGTGATTTATTTATTTCATTTAGGAGTATATCCTCAATATGTATCCATTTTCCTATGAATGAATCTATTTCCTCATTCTTGGCTTGCTGTATTCTTACTTTCACCTGAACCACCATTTGGGCCCCTCACAATCAGCAAATTCTCAAGAAGTGTGATAATCCTTCAGCTAACTCCATGCTATAACGAGTAATAGAATCACTCAGCACATGTTGTACGTGGAGAAAAACTAAAAACGATGGAGCACAGAGACTCTACACGTCATGGTTGCAATACAATTGCAGTTCCAGAAGTAACTATGCCTTATTCTCATGTACAAATAAAGTACTAAAGGATCATCATCCACCCAGTAGTAGTAATTACAGAATATTTAATAAAATATTTAGTAGTTTTATAGGAATTGAGAATTTGTGGAACAGACTCGAAGGATTCTTTGTTCCTCACTACACTTGTAAGCTGCAGGTACTATTTTTACTTTTCACGTGGACAAACAGACTCAGAGCGTGCTTATCCAGGACCAGCGGCCTTGTAAATGCTCCGCCTGGCTGAAAAGGCCCCCACCCCCCTTGTGTCCCACCATACTGCCAGTCTGTACATGAGAAAGGATGGGAAACACTTTACTCTTTTGGTGCGTCCAGATGGCTTTCTGCTGTCAGAAATAGGGCTTTTCTCACATTTTGTATCCTTAGCTTGCTGTCAGTTTCTTCCCCCTCGCTGTTGCTGCCAATGTGTGACATTCAGAATTGATCCGGCTTTATAATCCCTCCTCTGAATGCCTGACTGATGAGCCTCCGAAACCATACAATCGGAACTGCTGATCCCAAAGCCATACTTGCCTTCTCTCGACAACTGTGCTAATGTTTCCGTACCTGGGCACTCGCCAGGCCTCACCAAATGGGCTTTTCCTCCTCCTTGGCTTCATTTGCGTTTTGACCACTTGGTTAACCCCGAAAGCTTCATTTCTTGCTCCCTTCCATATTTCTTCAAAGAGCAGTATAAGCTTAAAGAAGGATTTACTGACAATGAGAAGCACTTGGGAAATGCCGGAAAATGGTGCGCGGTGGTGGATACGATTGTGCCACTCGCACACCTTTCTTCGGGTCAGACCAGAACACGTACAAACGAGTAACTGTGAATGTCCGCGAACGTGAACGGAAATACTCTTATTTCACACACCTCAGCTGACCATCACCGAACCAGTGAGAACAACCCATTTCAAGAAAGAGACAGAAACTTGGTGGTTTACCGCTTCTGCCCTCTGACGAAGGACAAATTTGATTCACTAAATGGCAAAGTATGTGGTGGAATTTGCTTTGCTAATAAACTCATATTTGCATTTCCTCTGGAGATTTAACAATTCTTTTGTAGTTAATTAACCGTAAACGGAGCTAAGGTTGGACAGTTGTAAAAGGTGCTGTCTTGGAGGTCTCCTGCTGGCTGGGTATAACCTATTTTATTTCTAATCAAAAGCCAAGAAACTATCTCTAAACCAGCTCAAAGGAAAAGCCACCTGCCCCCATCCCTCTTCTTTGATGTTGCTGTGTATCCCGGTGAGTGCTTTCACGAGAAGACCAAGGAGGTGGGTTGGTACATCATGGTGATAAGCCTTTTGAAGTCAGGCCTCCCTGGTGCCTTGGTGCCCAGGATTAGCTCACTGAGGTCCTTTCCAGCTGCTCCTTGAAAATAATGTGTTTATTGCACATGCTTTTCCTTGCTCTGTGTTCAGGAGCTGCCACTGTACCATCTTGATTTGTCTCGTTTGCTTTCTGTGTCTCTTGCTTCCTGTGTCCAGTGGAGCCTGTTGACGCCCGCCCAGCGGCTGACCGAGGACTGACCACTCGACCAGGTATCTGACCCTCCTGCTCCTGCCTCTCAGCATTATGCGCTCGAGCTTGAGCACACTGGCCTGCTTTCTCCATGAAAGACCTCTTCACATTGTACCTGTTGCAGAATAGAATTTGAAATGACCTTAGAAACCAAGGTTTTTAAATTCTCCTTTGCTTTTCCTTAGGCTTCATTTCCCAGGTTCCTAATTAAGTGATCTATTTTTGTTTCTGAGTTTTCTTTCAAAATACAAGAGAGCCCTTCCAAGTTTTGAGATATCTTTTTTTTTCTTGCCTTTTTTTTTTTTTTAAAGAGAATTATAGGGAGCCTGTCCTCAAAAATGGAAGCCCAAACACACGCAGAGTCTCTAGTTGGTAACTTGGTTCCTGCTGTGAACATTTCTTTCCTTGTTTGGGATCCACATGGATCTTTTTCTAACTATACTGGCTCAGACTTCAGTCAGTTACTAAAGTAGACGTGATTTCCTGAAAATATAAAAACTGGTGTATCTCCAGAGCCAGAAATACTTTTTCTCTTTTGTGGGTTGTATATACTTATTTTTCATGACTGGCTAAAATAACACAACAGATGTATAGGCATAATTTTGCACATAAGCCCTTTATTTTTTTCATATTACTTACAAATTCTATTAATACTAAGATATACTTCCTTTTTTATAGTTCCCAAACATTACAAAGAAATTCATTTTCCCCCTCTGTTCTGTAATTAGCCTATGGCTAGAACTAAAAGAATAACTTTGAAACATAAGAGACACACGTCCATGCCTGGTGTCTGCCCCATGCACAGCCACACCCAGCGAGTGTAGCCAGGGTGCTCAGTGATTCAAATAGCAGAGAAAGTACAGATTTGAAAATTCTGTGTATTCAGGGGAGATCTTACTCCCAATAACACCTGTCTTCCCACAATGACTTTCTTCTTCATCCTCGTTATACTCCGTGGAATAGTCAAGGACCTGGACACCTAGTGGCCAGCTTTCCCTCCCCGGTTCAGACCCAGTCAGCAGCAGGGCCAGAAGTAGACCCTGTCTCTCTCACTGCTGGTGCACATTTGAGCCATGGCTGTCTCCAGCCACGGTCCCCGATGAAGACTCAGAGCCCCACTGGTGGCCTCCTCGTGCCCTCAAGCTCTGATTCACAGTGGTGGCCGACAGTGGTGTGACTGATTTCATGAGTCTCTTATCTGGAGGGCCTTCAAGGGAAACTGAAATTATAGTAAGCCCGAGACAGACTTGGCTCTCCTAATGTCCGCCTTATTGTCACTGTCACTTAAGTGAATTTCAAGGAGCCAGCAGTTGACATTCCCACTCTGCTCAGCCAACTGGTGGGGCCTGCAGCCGAGATCAGTGACGCTCTCACTGCAACCAAAACCAGCTCAGGTTGGTCTTTTGCCTCAGGACTTCTTTTTCATGGTGCTTCTCATTTTTTTGTTTGTTTGGGTTTTGTTTGTTTGTTTTGGGGTTTTTTTTTGGTACCAGGGATCGAACTCAGGACTTTGTACTTTCAAGTCAGGCACGGTGCCACTAAGCTAAATCCCCAGCCCTGCTTCTCATTTTATTTTTTTATAGAAGACACACTTTTCATATACAAACAAAATGGGATGGGGAAGCACTCAGCCAATTTTATTAAGTTCATGCTTTGTACACACTGGACCTGTCTGGCTTTATTGAAACACAGAGTAACACATGCCACCAGCTGATATATTCTTTGTTTTTAATCTAATATGAAAAGGACATTTCCATACTCTGGCAAGCAAAAATAATCTCTTTTAAGGGAATAAGTAGAAAATAAAGAGCTAATGATATTACATTGGTGGGAGAGAGAGCCATCTAAAATCTTTTTGTAACAGTAATGATATTATTCTGTTTTGATATTTCATAAAGACTCATGCAGCAAATTCTGTAGAGAATAGAAAGATATTAAGATCAAGATCCTGCTCTGAGGATCTTGAAGCACAATAGAAGAAACACATTTAGAAATATGAGATACGATTTGCAAGGCATAAAAATACAAAGCTTGCATAAGTGTAAACAGGAGTTTTGGTATAATATGTGACCAGGGGTAGGACTCACCCAGGGGTGAGTTAAGCAGGGGACTTACCAGATATGAGCCTCCATAGATGTTGAGAATACTGGAATAATATGGATTAGCAAGGGTAGAACAGTTTTATACAGATATGAAAATGCACAAAGCCAGGTCTCCTCTCTAACCCTATTCCAGACTTGTAGTCCTCAAGAACATTGCCATAAATGACAGAATGTTCAGATATGAAATGAGGAAGATTCTACTTAAGATGCATTTATGACTATCAATGTTTGCTGTATGTATATTAGGATACTTATATGCTCTCTCCTTTGTGCTTCTAATGAGTTTGTCAAGGATTTGAACAAATTTCCCCTAGATTTTATAGCATTCATTTTGGTTCTTGATCACTGCATTTTATGAGAATAAAGACCTTGTATCAAAAAATAAAATAAAATAAGAAGAGTTAAAAAAAAAAAAAAGTGTCATGAAAAACTCAACCTCCAAATGGACAACAGGCTATTCCAGTCATGAGTGAGGGAGATTGCTGGAATCATCATGAAGGCTTGAAATGGAACCAGCTAAACTCAAAAAAGGCCTCTTGCAAGCCTGTGAACAAAGATCCCTACCATGTATTTTGAATATCCATCACACTTCATTATATGCAGTATCAGCTCATTGTTGGTGATAGTATTTTCCTATGTATCCAAGCCTATTGGTTTTTCTTTCTTTAGTAAGATTTGCTTACTGTATATAGTCTTCACTAAATGACTCTACATGATAAAAGTGAATTAACAAGAGCACTTTCTGCGCAGTCTCTGAAATTAACAAACTGTGAACATCCATTATATATTCTACTGACTTGTTACATGAGTTTGATTTATTTTTTTGGTCACTAGACACATTTTCAGTATCCTTCCAGAAATGACATGGGCTCGTAAAATTTTGAATGGAGAGTTCATTCTTTACCTGGGTGTGTGTAAATTGTTCCAGAACCTTGTTGGAAGGAGTATCCAAGAGAGCTTTCATAAATCTCAGAAATAATAATTCTAACCATTATATTTGTAGGTCCTATTGCCCCCCAAAAGTGATAAATTATAAAGAAGTCACCATCTTATAAAAGGCAGAATCTGGATTTAAGAGGATGCATAGAGAAGATAAAAATAACTAACCAAGGAAAAATTTAAAAGCATTACGATCTCTGTTAGCTTTCTGTTCCTGTGACAAAATACAAGTAAAACAATTTTAAGGAGGAAAGGTTTGTTTTGGCTTATAGTTTCAGAGGTTTCAGTCTATGGTCAGCCATCGTCATGTTTTCCGGCCTGTAGAGAGGCAGAAACATTATGGTAAAGGGTGTGGCAGAGGAGAGCTGCTCACCTCTTGGCAACCAGGAAACAGAGAAAAGGGGAAAGAACCAAAGAATCCAAGAGTGAGGGGTCTGCTACCACACTTAGTCTCCAGGGTCTCTGGTCCACTCTCTGGTATTTCCATCACCTCCCAATAGTGTCTCCAAACACTATGATCTCATCAATGGATTACAACCACGAATGGTCAGAGCTCTCATGAACCAGGCACTTATCAAAAGCACATCAGCAACCAAGCCTTCAGCACAAGCCTTTTGGAGGATGTGTACCTAAAGCACAAGTGTCAGAACCCTCTAAAACTATCAGGAAGTTGAAAAGTCAGGAAGGTTGAAAGACCAAATGGGTAAAAACATGTGGAAAATGGTAATAATTTTAAAGAAGGAAAGTAAATGAAAACAGAGCTCTGTACTTCTCAGAGTGCAGGGAGAGGGTTAGGTCTCTGCCTTGTCAGAGAACTAGAGTGAAAAAGATGGGAGAGAAAGGGAAATTACCCTACATTGTATATCTTGTCTCTGTTAAAGAGAATGAGCTTTTGGTTGGAGGAAGTTGTAGTCCATGACAGATCAAGATGAGAAAAGAAAGCATTAACCCTTTGTATTAATTATCCATTGCTATTTAACAGATAACTCCAGAACTTAACATCTTAAAAGAACAAACATTTAATTTCTTACAGGTTTTATTGGTCACCGTTTAGGCCTTGGTTAGGTGTGTGATTCTAACTTAGGGTCTGTCATGAAGTTGCAGTGAAGATATTGCCAGAGTTCAGGCTTGTGGATCCAATTCCAAGATGGCACACTCACATGGCTGCTGATGGTACTTTCTAATGTGAAGTCTGTAAGGCTACTTGAGCCTCCTTGTAACATGTCACTTGGTTTTGTCAACACCAAGTGATCAAACAGAAGAAATAAGGAAGGAAACCTCAGTGCCCTTTAGAACCCAGTGTCTGGAGTCATAGGTTATAACTTCTGCCATATTCTGTTCATCTAAAAGCCATTTACTACATTCAGCATACATACAAGGGAAGGGAATTAAATTCCACTCCTTGAAAGGAGTAGCAGCAAATTTTTGAACATGTTTTAAAATCACATCTCTCTAACCAAATCCACCTTCGATGACTGAGACAAATCCCAGGCTAAGCAAACTTGAGGGGCAAATAGTCACTGGTCCATGGTTTTTGTGAAACTCTGGAGAATGGAAAAGTAGAAAGGGCAGGAAAAATGTAGTTCTGAAAAGCAGAAAGGAGGAAAAATGTTGTCACAGTCTTCAAGCCATCTGTAGATTGACATGGGTTGTGAGTCTTTTTTGAATAGGTTATTAAATGGAAACTTCTTGAGAAGTTGGACAAGGAAACAGTGCTATGTCACACCCAGGATGGGTTACCAAGGTTTTGTCACGTTATCTTCAGTTTCTCTTAGCTTAGGCTGCACTGTTAAACGCACATTTTATGCTGTGGGCATGGTGCTTTTTGGTGTCAGCAGGTGTGTGACAAGTTTCACAGCACCTTGTAGACAAGATTGGAGGAGTAATTAGTTAGACCAAGAGTAAGAAATGAGTTCCCACGGGAGCTGAAGGGACTCAGAGTGTATAGCCCAAGAAAGAGAGAATCAGCAGGAATGTGTCACTTCTCCCTGTGTATCTGATACCCTTGTTCAAGACTGTCATGTAGAAGGGAGAGACTGGCTTGCTCAGAGTTTAACCAATCCCAGTGGTGCCAGTTGTAAGGAAACTGACATTGGCTTAATGTAAAAAAGGATGTTCTAGGAAGCAAAACTATCTAAAAATGGAGGCAAACGGATAGATATCATTGTGTTCAAGCAACACTGAGAGTCTGGCCCTGTGTGGGAAGCACCATTAAAGGAGATGATTTTAAAAACCCTTCTCATTCTGAAGTTCTGATTTTTGAAATTTAAACCCCACATCATAAAAGCTGATAATTATCCTTTGTGCTTTTGTTTTTGTTTTTTTCTCAAAATGCCTTTACATTTTATTTTTGAGCCTCAAGTCATTATTGGTATAATGAAACTCATTGAAACAATTGGTAAAAGAACCAGACAGCAATTTATAGAGAGGGAAATTATTAGTTATCAGGTTATAAATTCTGTTAGTCCTAGAGAAGCATTTTAAAAATTATGTACCGCACCCCTTTACTGAGCAGATGATCTAGGTATATGGGATGTGTATAACTAGAATCCTAACTAAATAAATTACATAATTTTCAAAATACTTCACTTCCATAGACACATGAACATAACTCATATGTATTTAGAAAAAAAGCTCTGAAGTAGCAGTTTTGGTTTACCAGGCAGTTAATGCTCATTTTAAAATCTCTGTATTATTTTTCCTAAAGTAATGAAAGCAGAAGGAAACAGACACGTAAGAGGCTAAACGATAAGCCCCTAAACCAACCCAACACTTTCTAGGAACAAATGCTTGCCAACCTCCCAGCCAGCATTGATCCTCTGTTTTTTGCCTTTTAAAATTACAGAGTTAGTTTAAAAGCAGTAGAAGCCTTACGTTCAGATTTCTTTGGTCTTTAATTTCTTTTTGTTTAAAATAAGTGGTGGTTAACAATTTAAAGGCAGGATACCATTTTCCTTAAAGGAAGTCCTTACTCTATTTTCTTCTAACTTCAGCCCTAGAAAGAAGTTTTTGGCAGTTGCTACCTCGTGGTGTTTCTGTCTACAGGTCAGACTCATTGGTTGTCCTGCATATTTTAACTGTGCTATCCTGCAGGTTCCGGATTGACAAATATCAAGACGGAAGAGATCTCGGAAGTAAAAATGGATGCAGAATTCCGACATGACTCAGGGTATGAAGTCCGTCATCAAAAACTGGTACGCAAAATAATTTCCTTCTTTCTGTTGCTGCTTGTCTTGCCAAATGACCTGTAAATTCTTGATCTTCCTGTGCCAGAAATCAAATTAAGGAACTTAGGACTGGGGATTTTGCTCACTGGTGCCACTGATTGCCTTACAAGTGCAAGGTCCCAAGTTTGATACCTGATACTGAAAAAAATAAAAAATTATGGAACTCTGCAATCATCATGAAAACATGAAGAAAATCGAAATAGTCCCTGGATATAATTCTTTCTGACTAGAAGGCAGCTGAGCCCATGCAATACTTAAAAGTGGAATTAATCTCGGTGCAGCAGCCACATACTAACTTGAGCTGTATTTTCTAGGGAAATGGATTTATATAGGTTGAACATTTCTAATCGGAAAACCCAAAATTTTCTCAAATCCAGCATTTAATGAGCACCAATATGATGCCACCAGTGGAAAAATGTTACACCATGAAACACGTTTCATGCACTAAAATTACTAAAAATTCTGGGTAAGATCATCTTTGGGCTGTGTACATAAGGTGTATATGAAACATAAATGAATTTTGTGTTTAGATTTTGATCCCAGCCCCAAGATATAAAGCATTTCTGGTCCCAAACATTTAGATAAGGAACTCTCAACCTGTAATAAGTTTATTTTAAGAATCAGAGTCTCCAATAAACCCATACCAATGCTTCTGCTTGCTTAAATTCCCATCTGCAAAGATCTCCCTGCACTCCTTGGTTTGCCCACTGCCCCTGCCACCTTCCTTCCTGTTCTGCCCCACCTTCCACAATTTCAGTTTTCCTGAAAAGAGAAGACGGCAAGGACCCTGCCAAGGTGGGTGGAGGCAGGAAGGCACTGCAATGCTCTGGTGTTCCCAGGAGTGTTTCTCAGCAAAACATTGGCCAAAGAAGACAGCACGTTCCTCTTTACACAAAACGCTTCCTGTTCCTCGGATTGGAATAAGTAAAAGAGCAAACATTTCCTCTGCAGGCAGGCAACTTTGGTAGTTCTATGAAATCTTTAACCCAAAGGTTAGAAGTTTAGGTAACTCGAATCCTGGATTATGTTAGGGTTTCTGTCATGGTACCAGTAAGCAGAGTAAGTTAAATTAATGAAAGAAGTCAGTTTTATCACATATTCAGTATTGAACAAAAAACGATGATAAAATTCTTGATAGTAATATCGAAGAGTATTCTCAGACACCTCTTTTGTGTGTGTTTGCTCCTTTCCAGCACAAATATCATGCCAATATTCATAAAATTCACAAATCGTAGTGTTAATCTCTAAAAGAAATCCATTTCTCATGCCTCTTTTGCCTCTAAATTATTATAGCAAATGTAAAACTGGCTTGGGATTCATATATGCATTAAACTTCCATCATCTATTTTGTAGAAAGACATTTAGCCTTTTGAAGCTGATTTTTCATTGGCAAGAATCTTGTACCACTTATTGTGAAATGAGGGGTACTCTTGATCTAGATGATGTTAAAGAGTTTAAAAAAAAAAACTAGAGAAACTGCTGAAGAATTGGGAAGTGGTAGGGCAAAAAGCTGAAGATTAATGTGCAGATTTGCATTTTTTGGAGCCTTTGTAATCTAAGCCCTTTTGCAGTAATTATGCTAACTCCTGTAATGTGACAGTGACTAATGGTGGCAGCAGCAATTAAGGGAATCAGCTCCCTCTACTGAACTAGTTGATAAGATAATGTACTATAATTAGTGCAACGAATATTACAAAATTACAGTATTTTCTTAAAGTCATAGAGATATGTCCAGACTCACATTTATTCCTGATTACCTCTCACTGGTATCATTAGCTAATTAACAATTTCCTTTTATAAATATGTTGAGGTAGCATATTTGTTTTGTAAGGGGACTAATTATGAACAGTTTCTAGTTTGGTTGCAGATAAACCATGAATAACATCCTTTTAGAAATTTGCTTTATCTGCTACGGTTTCAGTTGCCTTTGTAGATTGCTACAATGATGGTTCTAAAAATGAAAATTGGTCACTTTGACTGTCTTGTCTACTACCGGAAGAATTATTTAGGAAGCTGTTTTCATTAACTTACATAATGTGGTACATGTTTAGTAATAGTTTTTCTTTTTTGATCTTGCATAAGATCATCTTACATAACAAGATGATAGAAGTTGCAGTGCGCATCTTTTATTCCATTTAGTTAAAGTAGAAAAATGACTTGCTTTCATAAAAAGTATGAATGAATGTAATGCAATAAATCTATCATATGAATAATTTTCTTTATAGCGTACTCCAAATTCTTTTCATATTTAATCAAAGCAAACATCAAGAATAAAACATTTTAAATTTTAGTTTCTGGAAAAAACACAGTAGGAAAGCATGAGTTATGTGTAACTATTAGGATCGCTTTGCCTACTGTTCCTTCCCTTTGAAATAACATTGTCTTTAAAGTATATTATGCTGTTGAAGGTTAATTGTAATGTTACTGAATTATTGTCACCAGAAGTAAATAATAAGAGTCCTTTTTTCTTCTGCTTAACTCCTTTGTTTCAAAATGCTTATAGCTATGTATTGAACATGTCATTCCAAAGAAATGAGGAATCTGCAGGATTGAAAAGTACCCAATGTGACATCACTTAGTTACACATTATATCTCCCAGCTTTCAACCTGCTGTGAGTGAAAAAACACTAGCTTCCCTTCATAATTATGATCTCTATGTTTGTAGCTCTGATATGTCCAAGATCTACCATAGACTGCTTACTTGTCCCTGGGTTCCAGCTCTCTGCGGATTTCTGTACTGACTTCCTCCGACTGGGGAAGCCACATGCTGCTCACTGCACTGTAGATTTTTTTTTTTTTTTTTTTTTTTTTTTTTTTT